TTCCCATATGAGCCAATCAGAATGTGATCTTGATACAGCTGTGTCACGTAGGCAACTCAGTAGATCATAAACATCCTTTGTTATTTAAATAATATCACACATGGTAGATTCCAATTCTCCTTTCAAAGTTGTAAACACCCTTTATTATGTAGATCACAAGCACACTTGGTAAATTCCAACTGTCCTTCCAGAGTTGAAAACAAGTATGACCTGTCAATCATCTCATGGCAGTTATCACACGGCTATGCAAACCGTTTCTTTCCATGACTCCATGCACATCCCATTTGCAGGGTCTAAGGTAATATGACAAAAACATAAAATAAAGAATGCTGACATTGTGTGTATTTCGTTTATTTGCAGATACGATGAACATATCAGTAAAAGACAAACCAGCAATGAGGACAATACGATTATTTTTTACTTTCGTAATTGGGGTAATTGTTGGTGTTGTAATATCGTTTACAGTGAGTACTGATATGTTCTGACATATTGCAAAATATTTTATTAATATGTAATATATTTAACTCGAGTTACAAGTTATTACTTTATCGCTCTCGTATTTAATGTTACCTCCACTGTATTAGACTGACAATGAATCAGAGATCTGTCTGTTTCCAAAAGGCAATACAAGTGAAACAAGAGCTGGAAATTGACAATGCCATGTCTCTTTTTCAATTTGTTTCCTATTTGATGATATTATCTTCTATTTCCGGTATTGGGGAATATTATTTTCTAGTAGTTGCACCATAGTACTATAATGACTTACCTGAGTGGCTGTACCCTAGATCTGACCATCTTACGGCGCTACCTTGCATTTGTTTATTATTTGCACGAGAATACTTAATTTGAAATTACATCAACTACTGTGTGACATTAGTGTTAGTCGGAACGCTTTTTTAATAATTTGTTTTAAATTTATTTCTTGTTTAGTAATAATACATACGATATATATATATACATTATCAGGAATTTAGCGGCAAGATAATGCCATTGTACAATGATCACAAATGCAGTGAAAGGCGCAACAGTGAGACTGTATTGATGAGTGACGTTAACGCATCTTCAGTGAATGGACACAACATATCGACGATTCGTGTCTACACAAGTGAAGGACGTAATATTGAGGCTGTATTAATGAACGATGTGAACGCATCTTCAGTGAGCGGCATTGGACACAACATATCGACAATTATTGTGAACACGTGTAATAACACAAATAATCGCCAGGGAAATATTACAACTGATAAACAGGCAACAAGTAAGGAACCTGTAAAAGATGAAACTAAAATATTATGTCCCTACAACGACTACAACCGCTTTAGCATGGAGTGGATCGGCGTGGTTAATGAGCTAGATTGGGAATACACTAACAGAGAACACAACATCAACGTATCTCACAGTGAGAAATATCTCGATATTGGAAATGGTTCTTTGGGTTTAACATCAGTGAATCAGACACGGTAATTTAAGATTTTTATAGAACAACGATATCGACAGGTATACTTATCAGGTGTCGTACAAATTATAATAACATAATTTCAATTAATCTACCGCTCTTGACTTGAAACTGAATAAAACGTTGAGAAACACAAATAACAAAATTCAAAGTGTAATGTTTAATTGATAAAGCGGGAATAAGAAAATATAACAGTAGAAAAGGCCAGTGCTTAAAATAAAACAATGCAAATTATATATTAACTAGCTATTGTTCACGCATTGGAGGGTTTATCGGATGAAATAATTAAAGGGACATTTTACGAGCAAGTGCGTATACAGACACAAAGTGGGCCTATAAAATAAACAAATTAGGAGAAAAGAAAATATATGGTTAAAGAAATTGTCAAGTAAAATAGAAAGACTACAATGATAAGCTCAACTCATAGGAATCAATGAAACACATTTAGAATCTATAATATACATGGTTTTGAGGAAGCATTATAACAAGTTTATAACTAGACAGGGACTTTTTTTGGTTTCATTAGTGAATTAGAAAATAACAAACGCTAGAACGAAATTAAAGAATGAAACATTATTACCTTCGAGTATGATTAGTTAACAAATAATAGTTTTATAATAACGAAAATGTAACACTCTCATTACATGGAGTTATACATACGTACATAAATTTGTCATGCCATTCTTATATTGAAATTACTTTTACTTATGAAAAATAAACGCTTAAACTATTAAACGCAATATAAATAATACAAAGACATATAGTAAACTATAGCGATCTTTCCATTACCGCTATACTACTTGAACAATCCACTTTCCATTTACAATCATCATTAAACCTTACTTAAAAAACACGCAGTAAACATTATTTGTACCAATAGTAGTCACCATTAAATGCACCATAAATAATGACAACAAATAACATAATTAATTTATATGCATTTTATTAGCGCAATATTACTTGAAAATCTCTCTTCATTTATAATCACTGTCGAAATTCATCATTAAAAATCACCAAATAGAAAGTTGTATAATATCTAGGTTTTGTTCCAAAAGTACAATGTTATTATTATTATGCATATAAATGTTTATTTATTTCTTATTTCGGCGACTGGCATGTGACCATTTTAGTTCTCAAAACAACAGTTGAATGTGTCGTCCGTCATGCATGCCTTTTAGTTGTTTTGATGAAAACTTGGTATGGACGCCACATATGATGATTTTGATGCACGTCAGTCAGCTTCATGATTCGATTCAAAATGGCTGACTGGTCGCTATGATGGTTATACCATTTCTACCGAGTTTGTTTTTACGTTATCATGGCGAATATTCATTTAAGTGTAATATACAATTACGTTGTTTATAATTCACACAGTCTCTAAACACTGGGTGGTAACAATGACTTGAAAAAATATTTAAAAAGTGCATTAGTTTAAAAATATTTCAGAAACACGTCATGTTTTTCACTCTTTTTCAGGGTTATGTTTTACAAAAATAACGATAAAATAGAGAAGGGACAAACCATACATATTATTGTCGAGACATATGATGAAAATGGTCGTAAACGAGACAGAGGTGGCGACACGTTTACGGCAACCATGATGAATCGGCAGTTTTCGGCAAGTACAGCAGGCCGTGTGGCAGACTATGGAAATGGAACCTACTCTGTATTTTTCTATGCACCATGGCCTGGAATTGCAGAGGTGATCATCGCACTTGAATTTACGAGAGAAGCAATCAGCTTTTTGAAAAACACCGTAAAAACGAGAGAAATGATCTTACCCATCACTGCAATATACACAAATGGTTCACGATCCGGGGAAACACAATGTTTTGTGGCAAATGAAGGGGTTTGGTCTAACAAATGCGAGTACGTAAATACGAACTCTTTGGGTAAAACCTCGCTAATTTGCAATAAACTTGGGCAGTTCAGTTGCGAGGAATTGAATAACATGATTTCTTACGCCAAGGATTTAGATGAATTTGCCACGAGTGTGTTGAGTCACGATGCCCACATGTTTCAAAGGTAATGTTACTATTTCATTTTCTTAAGCTCGCCTAACAGTATCACATAATTGTTTGTGATTCAATTTGTACACAAAATTCTTCATAAATATCGCAGCAAAATTATGAATAAC